GTGGTTTTTTTTTTTTTTTTTGTTTGGTGTGGGTTTTTTTCTTTTTTCTTTTTTTCTTTAATTCTGTTTTGTTTTTGGCAGGAAAGAGCAAGAGCTTGATTCGAAAGATGCTATCATACTGCATCAGTTTTCAAGGCCTAGCAATGGTGTTCCAAGTTTATCTCCATTCTGTCTGAAAATGGAAACCTACTTGAGGATGGCGGATTTACCCTACCAGGTACATTGGGCAGTTTTCCTTTACACTGCAGCTCGCTGTAATTGCATGAAATGGCAAATAGGCATCCTGGCTCTCCTCTGTCCCCCAATCTGTCTCACCCAGGGAGATGTAAACATACACCTACAGCTAGGTAGATGCACCGACACTTTTATGTCTCTAGTTAAATTTGGTGTGTAACCTTTAAAGATATGACTTGAATAACATTGGTCTGGAACAGCTCCTGATTTAACTGGCGCAGCTAAATGAGTGTTAGAAGCTAACTTGGCTTGAAGTGCTGAAGTGGGAGAGTAGTCCAGAGTTTATGTAACACTAAATAACACCCCAACACTAAATTGTAACATTATTTCATCTTAGAATTTCATCATGCTAAAGAGATCAAGATTAGACAGCTGCAGCTTCTTATTTTCCTGGAGGGTTTCCCTCTGGAGCTCTGCTGGGAAGACGTGCTTGCCTTCTGCTTTACTTCCCATCGCTGGTACTTCCCCTCCAGTGAGATAGAATTGCCTTTAGAGGTTGTGAATATTGCTCCTTAATTGTGGCTGGGTGCATCCCATACCTTATTCCCACGGGGGATGAAGCCCAAGATACTCCAGTGAATGAAAGCTGGGAGAGCAGAAATTTGAATCTAGCATCCTCGCCTGATAGCGTCAGAGTTTAGTTGTGACGCCGCGAGCCTGGCATGCACTTTGTTGTGGTGTCGGCAAGCTGTAGAGCATGCAGGCTCTTTGAAACATGGGACCAGTTTCTCTTCTGTCTGTATAAAGCATTGAGTGCATTTAAGATGGTACAACAATGCTGATAAATACAACAAGCATCTTGGGTAGAAGAGATGTCTGTCTTCTTTTTTTCCTTTTTTTTTCCTAAATGATGTAAATTTGGCATCTTACTTTGTCTCAGAGAGACTGAGCTGTGGGTAAGGTGCATGATCATCCCTCATGGGCTCAAGTCACTTTTTACTGCTGCATACCAAGGTGTTAGAAAGGGTGTTTTATGTCAGTGTTCTACACAGGAAAACCAACCATATTACAACTTTTTTTTTTTACACATTTGTGGTTGATACTCATTCAGCTTTGTATGTGGGTAAACTCCTTTATATTGGAAGTGAAAGAAAACTGAATTAGTACATTTTGCTTAAGTCTTCAGAAGCCTGAGTGTTCATTATCTTACAATTTAATGGTACTTGAATCAGATCATTCAAAACATTAAAGAGGGAGATTTCCGTCCCGTGGGATGTATTTTCCTCATTAGGGTTTACAGAGCCTGCAAGATACTGAAGTTTGAACATGTCTTTGGAGCAGGAGGGCTTGGTATGCATTGCTTCTTCACCCAGGTTAATCTGGGTAGAAATTGGACATTTGAAGGGAAAGCTATTTTCTGTTTCCTTTCTCATGACAGTTGATGTGGTTTAGAGGTTTGCAGTGATCCAAGTTGCTCTGGTGGAGGGTAGTTAAAGAAAGCTGCAGTATAAAATGATTGTGACAGGATACGATTACTTCTAAAAGATAACACCGCATCTGTATGATTCAGGATGGAGTCCTTCAGACAGCTAATCCTGGGTAGGAGTGAGTTACCCAGCTTTTTAGAGAGGGGGGGATTTCCAGGGGGTTATCCTCCCCTCTTTATTTTCTGTACTGAAGGTCAGCATTGCTTTTTGGTATTGCATCTCTCTATCTCCACTAGCCAGCTGTGAGCATACTAAGCTTGTGTAGGTCAGCAGATCTGCCAAAAGCAATAGTCCTACCTTCAGCAGCTGGTGACTCCCTCTTGTCTCTTCCTTCATGCACTTTTCTGTGCCACAGCTAGGCTAGCTGGAGCCATGAAGGTTTAGTTTATTTGGCTTTAACCCAGCACGGTTCCCTGTGCCATGCTGCAGGATCTGGAATGGGTCCTGCAGGTGCTGGGAATGCCAGATTGCTGCTGTTACCCATGTTGGCCTATATGTACGGGCTTAAGGTGGTTTTGGGGTTACTGACCCTATGTAGGATTTTAGAGGTAAGTTTGGTAGAGTTAAGCTTAACAGCTGAAGACACAGCTTTTTTTCTGAAAGAGACAGATTCTGTTCCTGTGTTTGTGTTAGGATTACAGTGCTGCATTAGGCTCCGGCAGGTGGAGGAGGGTCTGGGTGCCGCTGTGGGTTTGAGCAGGAGGTAGTGGGGGGGAGCCAGGCAGCAGTGCCTTTCTCAGCTGGAGTTACGGAGTTTCCTATACTTGGACTACCTGCAGACTTTTGTTCCCTTGTGGGGGTGTTACCTGTAGGACACTGTAGGTGACAGAGATCTGATGGCCCCCTCAATGAGCAGCAGGATGCATGTGTAGTGGGGGTACATCCAGATGCAGGAGGGAACACCTCGCTTCCCTGCACACTGGTGGGGGCTGCAATGGAGAAGTGATGGCACTCGGCGTGGCAGCTGGTGCCGGGGTTCGCCTCCAGAGACCTGTTGCAGTCATGACCTTCTCCTGGGGAGGGGATGCTTAAAAGGAAGGTTTGTGAAGAAAAGGCAGCAGGGTGGTCAGGCTGCTTTTACTCTTTTGGTTCCTTGTGTTTATACTTTATTATAGTGCCCCAGACTATTGAATAACGAGCTATGTGTTACATGACATACTTTAATGGCATGTGAAAAGTGGAATTGGGCCACACATTCCTACCTTACTCTCTCATCTGAATTTCTCCCAACAGATGCTCTCTTGTAATGTGCTTACTTTTTCTTGAAGATGCCCTTCTAGGTGTGAGTTCTCCATAAAAAATAATATGGGCAGACCCACCCTGCCTGGTCTATCATAGTACCTTACTGTTTTTTCAAAGTGTTTGATGCTTTTCTTGATAAAGCTTCTTTGAAAGAGCCCATTCTGGGTGGTTGTGGAGACCATTTGGGTGTTTCTAGATTCCTTCATTACCTGAGCATTTATGTAATCTGATAAGTAATTAGCACAGCAGAAAGTGATGGTTTTATGTCGGGTCTGTGAAAATGGTAGCCTCCTTGGGAAGAGACATGAGTAAAAGTAAAAGCATAAGCAGCAGTAATTGAAAATGTGGAACCTGTTTTCTTCTGGATAGTACTATAAAATTACCCCCAAAGTGCCCTATGTCATTCTGTTTATAAATTCCTCTATAGATGAGGTTCTGGGGAGCTCTTGTTTTATTGTTGCTTTGTAGTTTGCAGTTGAGTTAAAGGTACTATGAGGCACAAGGGGATATTCTGTTTGGTTGTTTTTATAATGATAATACCATAGTTTTTCCCTGCTTTGCAGCTGGAACAATTTTTAAGTGGAAAATTGATAAATATTTGATGGCAATTGGCTGCCATAAGGATACTGAGGTTTCAAGCCTAAAAATACCCATATGAGAACAGAGGATAGGTACAAGAACAGTATAACAGAATTTGTGAGGAGACTAAGGTTTTCTCAGGTCATTGAAAGATGTTTCTTGTTTTGTTTGATAAACTGTATGTAATGAAACATGAGGATCCTGAGAAGGCTTTTTTAAGTTCAGGTAGACAGCTTTCCTATAAGAACTTTAGTTCTCATTTGTGTTTTTGAGAGTGTAATATTAATGCAGTACTAACAAGATTTTATGTAATTATTTTTAATATTATATATATGTGCTTGAAGAAATGTGTAGTTGGATAATAAAAGCTTGCTTTTTTTTGTGTTGCAAATTATATGGACAGTAAACACGTCTTCAAGTCTGGTCGCTTCCGCAAAACAGCAGTGTTTGTGCACTAAAAGGGAAGTCTCATACTGAAGGGGCTGGACAACAGTTAAGCCAGCAATGCTCAGTGCCATGTAGACACGCTATGTAGTTCCATAAAAAGCTTATGATTCTGTGGTAAATTCACAATGAAAAATTGTCGAAACCTATCACGCTGCTGCTGCTGGAAGAACCTTTTTGATGAAGGAAGAGTCGGGAAGGTGGAAGGATGGAGCAGGGCTTTACATTGTTTTAGGTGTTTAGCAGTTTTAGACTTTCTCCCGTGGACCAGAGTAATAACCCAGTGTTGCCCACATGTGCAAGTGGGGTGGATTCAGTTGCTTTATTCACCCATGCAGGGATGTAGTAGACGAGACAGTATATAATCTGGTGTTCCTACCATGCTGTTTATTTGGGCAGAAATCCCAGAAAATGCTACAGCTGGAAGGCATTGTTTTACCAGCAGCATTACCCGTTTTATCTGTTTTCATCCACAAGGGAAGAGCCTCCGGGAATGGCTGCGTGTTCATAGTGCATTGCACATCCATGTTTTGAGTGGTTGCCAGGATGCTGTGCTCTCAGCCTGAGCTGGAGTGTGTTCTGTGGTGTATGGTGTTTGCTGCAAGAGGACCTTAATCCATCTTTACTGGATTCAAGAAGGGTAAATGCTGGAGACCCAAACAGGTCAGTCCAGAAGTGCTAACCATAAACCTCCAGCAATTAGGAGCTAGATCCTGAAATGCTTAGGGCAGCTGTCTGGAGTCTGAGTACAGAGCCTTTATTGTGAGCCTTCATGGTTTGGCTTTCTGGGCTAGGATTTTCATTAATTAAATAACAGGATGTGAGGATGCCAATCACAAGTAAAGAAAGTTCTGTTTTGTGTCTCTGCCTTCAGGAGTAAGAGAGAATTGAAGTCAAGTGTCCAATTGTGTTTTGGAAGCCAGCAATTCCTCTTGTGTTTGTCAGATGAGACATATGTTCTCTATCTCCGTGTTTCACCTTCTCCAACTGTAAAATGGGGAAAGTACATTGCTACTTCTGCGTGTGCACTACACCAAGCAGATACATCAGTATTCAGTGATGCACTAGTACTGTGCTGGTGTTGGGCTCTTGGAGACCCAATTGTAACAAGTGTGTTTCTAAATGTATGAGATTTCTAAATTATAGAATTGCAGAAGCATATGTAAAGGCAGATTTCCCTCCTACTCGGTGAGGGAATGATATACCTTTCATTACATGCTTGTGATTGTGTGTGTGTTATCCTTGGAGGTAATGCAGCTATCCAAGATAGGTAGTGAGTTAATCTTTATAAAGTACTTTTAACAGGAAGAGCATTGCTCGATGCAAAAAACAAATTCACTTGAGTCCTGTGATTCAAAACTTGTTTAGCATAACAGACCTAATTTTCCAGAAGACCTGAGCATCTCCAACCTTTATATAACCCAGGTACTTAAATAATATCACATCACCTGGCATCCAACATGAAAGTGTGTGACACTTTGCAGGACCCGGAAACAATTGTTGTATAGGGTAAAGCTGTTGCTCTGACTGAACAGGTACCACTAGTCTAGAGTAATTAAACAAAAAAAAAAGTTTTTTGGATAATGTTGCCTTTAAAACCACAGAAAAATATTTAAAAAGCTTTATTCTCATTGAAACAAAACCCAGAGCGCCTATTTTTTCTGTCTGTTTACTTGCTGCTTTTTTTTTTTTTCTTAGAACTATTTTGATGGAAAACTTTCTCCTCAAGGGAAAATGCCTTGGATTGAATACAATCACAAGAAAGTATCTGGCACTGAGTTCATTATTGACTTTTTGGAAGAGAAACTTGGAGTGAATTTAAATAAACACCTTGGTCCACATGAAAGAGCTGTTTCCAGAGCCGTGACAAAAATGGTGGAGGAGCACTTCTACTGGTAAGCTTGCATGGCGAAGCTGGCTGAGTTCTCATGCTGTCAGATCTGGCTCTGTGCTTCTGCCTGGACATGAATGATTTTTTTTTTCTTATAGAAAGCTTGGGTACCCAATTATTAATTTCACAACTCTCTTCACCCTAGAAAACCGCTGTTGCTTTCTGCGTATAGCTAGTATGAGCTGGGGGTATCTTCCTTGAGAGTTTCAGTGTTGTGCAGGCAAGGCCAGGAGTCAGGCCTCATGCCTGCAGCTTTGCAGAAGGGAGCTGCAGTGATCTGTTCCTCCATCCTGTTTAGTATGACCTCTGCACAGAAACAACCTTACTAATAAAGACCAAGGAAATCAAGATGGCTGAGTGAATACATATGTAGTTGGGAGAGGAGGGGGAACGAATCCAGCATTCAGCGTGAATCCAAAACATTGTGTTCTTACAGTTACTGATTTTAATTATCCGTGCGTGTGATTACAGTATGGATTATTGCCTTTCCTGTAACACAGAATACTCCTGTATTGTTGGCAACTGCCAGTTGATAGGATACAGTATTAGTCACAGTATTCTGAGAAACTGAAGTATGTATATGAATGGCAAACATAAATATAACCTTGTTGGTACTTTATGCATTTTACTGACACCTTTGAAGAGAATACCTGTGATTTCTACCTCCATCCCACCCCCTCTGCCCCTTTATGTTTCAGTCCTTTTTAAGTGCCCTTTCCAGTCTGGATTCATAGAAGTAGCAGGTGGACATGGCATGTTGGATGCTGCATTGGCTGCCTCAGCAGGCACAAGGCTTCTTCCCAACAGTTTCCTTTCTAGCAGGCATTTAAGTCCTTGCCGTACTAAGTCTTGAATTAATACTACACTTTTTTTCTTGAAAACAATGTGTGACTTAAATTGAATGCATTTATGTGCTTTTTCTTTCACCCTGTGATTGAAGATGAGCAGCAACATGTACATATAGTTCTTCAAATAATTCTTAGTGTTTTCTGTGAACAATTTTAGCATTCATTAGGCAGATTTAAATAATACGGTTTAGAAATGTAATCCCTGCTTTCCAAGAAGTATGATCTTCACCAGTTATCCCCATCTGCAGTACCATAGCCTCAAAAAACCCTGACTCAAGTAACCTGCAAATGTAACAACTTTTTTGTTTGTTTCTTTGTTTGTCCCCCTCTCAGTTATTGTAGCTGCCAAAGGGAAAATGAGGCCTTTTAATCCCCTAATGCTCCATCTCCTTGCTTTAGTGTTGCTTGTTTTATGGTCCATAGGCTTAACTGCTTTAAATGTGACATCACTGATGAAAAACTTATACTGCTGTTGTGTCTCAATTAAATATTGCCCTTTCCTCTGTGAAGCTGTTGTCTGTCCATCCAGGCTCCCTCTGAGCTGACTTGGCACTGCTGGGCATGATACAGGGGAGCATGGGGGACAAGTATTGCAAATTCAGGCACTGACTCGGGGAGGTGGCATTGAAATGGGTGGACAGAGCTTAGACCAAGTGAGAACAGATGTGCATATGTGGCTGTATATCCCTGTTGCCTTTCCCATTTAGTCACACAGTTGAGTTTCCCTAAGGTATGGATTTTTGTTGCAGTGTAGTAGAACATCCAACTGTATGTTCCTGCTGTGTGGCTGTACTAGAGGCTGTTGGTGAGGCTACACCATGCTGGCTGGCTGTAATAGGTAAGGCCTGAGATATGAGGCATCACAGCTGTAATGCTGTAATTCCTGGATAACAACTTTGACCATCCTTTAGTTAGACCAAAATAAAATCAGGCTTTAGCTGTATAGGACTGTGTTTTTCATGACAGCATCTGTTGTGGGATCCCTCCACATCAGCCCTTGAATCAGCCCACTTCCCACCAGAAGTTTAGGATTTGTTCTTGGTGTCCTCAAGTCCCATGGTGAGGAATTTGAAATGGCGATTTCCTTTCTGCAGAATAAGGTTTATAAAAATCAAGTCTCCAAAGCAGTGGTATAAAATGTGATTCATACTGCTTCCTTGCCAGCAGCATGCAAAGTAGTTTCATCATAAATAAGTAATACTGTAGTACATTTATCAGACAAAGAAGCAAAGTACATCCTGTGGTGTGCTGTCTCTGGATGGAGCTAATCCTAGTGGGTGCTCAGCATCTCCTTCTGAAACGTTTTGCTTTTGCTGAGGTAATTGCTCGTCTTCACCAATTAATGCCTTTTACAGGTGGAAATTACTGCTCTGGCTGGAGCTGAGTGTAATGCAGGGCTATTGTGAACCTCAGCCTCTAGATACTCTGTATTTGCCCCAGGCTGCGATGCCTGGCAGGGGTCAGGCAGAAAGACAGCAAGCAAGTGCACTTATTTTAGCACCAGGATTAGAGCATATCTCTGAGATGCACGAGACTAATTTGGAGCTGATACTGGAGCTCCAGTCTGTGGAAAATGCCATAACTATTAGGTTTTTGCTGTGTTTAAATTGGCAAAAGAAAAAAAGCCTGCTAACCTGAATGGGTGTTGGGCTGAGTCAGCAGGGGAAGATGGATGGGAGCTGAAGGATTTTGTGTCTCTTGTCCCAGGGCTTGGATCCAGTGCAGACCTCTGTTATTGGCTGAAAGCTTGCTCTGGATCACCTCTTCTGCCTGCAGTGACCGTGGGCCCTTAGAAACCAGTGAGACACCCACAACCACCTTCAGTATACATTGAGTATTTGGTGTATCTGTAGCACGTTTGTGGGATTGGGTCTCTGTGTAAGATGGGCCGGTGGATGTCCATGGCGCTGCCAGCATTCAAACCAGGCAGCTCCTGGTGCCTAGAGGGTTAGCAGTCGCTGTGGGGTGCCTGGAGGGCTCTTTAATCTCAGGAGAGGGATCTCAGGTCAGTGACACTAATGTGCTTAGTGAGAACCTAAAGCCCTGAATATGCAGCTTAACCAAACTAACCCATTAGATTGGTTTAGCTGTATTATCAAACACAAGCTTACTGATTTATGTGTATATACATATTTAACTCATTTCTTGCTTTGTCTTTCAAGAAGACTGTGTCAACATTACATATGTGATGAGTGCCTGAAATACCGGCAAAGCATGGTATCAGAATACAAACGAATCTGACTTTGGTTGGTATTCAGACTTGTCATGTATTAAACATAAAATATATTGATAATATAAATATGTTTAAATACATCAAGACTATTATAAGATCAATGTCTCTTCTGCTGTTAACAATGGTGAGGCTTGAGTGGCACTGGCAGCCTGAAAGCCAGTTGCTCTGGAATGCCACACAGCAGGTGGGGTTTCTGTAGCTGATTGTGAAATAAATTCGTTATAATCCTCTTGTATATCAAGAAATTCGACTCTGCACAGGTTCGGATAGGAAAAATAACCCCCAGTTCACATCCTTGTGAACACCTTCCCCTTGCCTTGATGTTCAGACAGTTTGGGGATAATCAGGCAAGCCACTGTTGATGAGTCACTTTCTCCATCTCCTTTTCTGATTTATGTATTGAGGCCAAAGCTGCTGTTACATTTAGACTTCAGATTTGCTTCAGCCCCGAAGCATTGCTCTTTAATGCATTATTGTTTTATTTATACTGTAAGATTTGTACAGATATGCTGGCACAAATGATAATGTTTCCCAAAATGCTCAGTTCGGGCCAATTTAAAATAGTTATGTCATCCTGTAAATACTAAATGCAGTTTAATATGCATAGTTATGCTGAAACAGGTTATGTAGACTATCTGTTTTCTGGCATTTTCTAACCTTTTGTAATATTGATAATACTCTAGTAATATAGTCTGAGCAGAGGGATGATCCATGCGATTAAATGCAGAGGAGCATTTCTGGATAGGAAGCAGAGATTAATGAACCTTTGAATAGACTTTTTTTGCAAGCACTTTGTTAAAAATCAGTGTTAAAAGTGCTTTTAACTGTCTCTCTGATCCGAACCTGTTTTTTTCTTTCCTTTTCTGCATTCTCAGAACCATAAAATTTTAGGAGTGAATTCTATGGTTGCCTATTTAGCTGCCTTCATTGCCCGTGTAAATTTGAGATCTGGGACACGTGACAATGTTACTCATTCAAAGTGGCAAGCAGATGTCTTAAGATTGTTCTTGACAGTTTAGCCTGAACAGGATTACCTAAATCCTGTGCAGTTCTGCTCTTCCTGTGTTATTGTCCTGATCGTTAAACGTTTCATCTGGTCTCTGCCTCTTCCAGACCCAAAGACCTTCTCCTGCAGAGCAAGTGAGTGCTAGGAAAAATGTATTTTTGCTTTAAAGTATAGGCTAAATAGCTTTTGGGAAACCTTGTTCATCCTGTATCTTGAAATTAAAGCCATTCTGGATGGGCTTGATCATTCTTGGTGTGGTGCTAGCTCACAGGTGTGGTTGGAATGAACCAACACAAATAGTGATGGCAAGTCCATAGGCATGAGTTAGTCTTGTGCAGCTGGGATGACTTTTAAAAAAATGCTGGAGCCGAGTCTCCTCTCTTCTTTTTCTGTTTCCTTTTGGCTTCTTTTGACTTGTTGTCCCTCTCATGGCCGGGCCTGTTGTACTAAAGCAACTAAGTTGTGTTGCAGAGTTGCCAGGTGAAGTGGGTCAGGTCCATGCTGGGAAGGAGGGTTTTTGCAGCGAATGCACAGCAGAGCTCTCGGAGAGGAGGTTTTTCCTAGCTTATTCAAGTAATAAATAATAATTTATAGGTAGTATTTGCAATTATTTCCTCGTGTTTGCATCAAGATGAGAGTGTTCGTTCCTGTTCAGAGCTGTAGCTGCCCAAGGACCTTGTCCTTTCCCAGGCCTGTGAAACATGACTGCTGAGATACTCCACTTTATGGAGCACCCTTACGCTTTCACCTTAGTCTTCTTTCCATCCTTCTTAAATCTTGTTTAACCTTTGTTTCTGGAGCAAGGCAGTCTCACACCACATCTTCCAGTGAAAGTTAATGCTTCTGGAGTTTCAATAGCTGTTTACTGTGCTGCTTGTAGGCTTCATGTTCCCCCTTTTGTGCTGGTGCCTCTCACTAAATCTGGCTTTGTTACAAACTCCACTGTGCTGAAACCAGCCCAGTGACTTGAGTTGATCCATCCATTTTTAAAAACAGGGATTGTGCAGAGCACCCTTGTTCGAAGAGTGGTACTGAAGCGTGTGAATATCAGCAGGATGCTTTTGTCATATTAATAAAGTGCAGGAGGTTGTGGAGAAACCTGTGGAGGATAAAAGCCTTCAGAAACATAGCAGGTGTGGTTTTGTGCTTCACTGTTGATGCATTTGCAGTGAAACCTGCACGTACCTCACTGTTACTGACTTTAATGAAATCAATTTGAGCAGAAGACATTGTCCTGGAGTGGACAATTTTTAATAGAATAAAAATGCCTTTCACCCACTCTGTTGGGAGTATTCAAAATTTGAGCTGTAAGTGTGTTTTTTTTTTTTTTCAGCCATTATGCCAAATATTCTCCTTTAACCTTGTTATTAGTAATTCAAGTAAAGAATCTGTGGAAATAAAAAGAACATTTTCATGGTGTAAATGTAATTTTTCCCTGATGGTACTGCTGAATTCAATTTTTGTTCATGACATGGAGGAGTGTGCTAAAACATACATTAAAAAAAAATCACAGAAGTTCTCCAGGAATACTTCTTTGTTGTTTTTCTTTCTTGAATTAGGCAATCCATATTAGCACTAAGGAAATTATGTGCAATTAGAAATATATACAATGATAAGACTGAAATCATATTCCAAACTAAAAAAAAAATTAGCTCTGGTCATACTGGAAATGGAAACTTTTGATTATTAAGTTGGTACTTAATATAACTGTGTATTTGAACTTGCAGCTTCTGATAGTTCAACTTTTTGATGTAGCTTCACTAGTTTATCATGTCTTCATTAGCCAGTAATCAAATATGTAAATCCACTTTTAGATTTTTCAGTTTGGAAATTGATACAAACATAATGGAATATGGATGCCAACTCCCAGTGTTTCCGAGACCCTTTTGGTGTCATGTGTTTGTCATGTCTAATTTGAGATGTCTTTAACCCTTTTTCCAACATCCCTTGAACTTGGTGACAAAAGTCATATGGTCTTTTTGGTTTCTTTGTAATGTCAGAAGATGCTAGATATTAAAGAAGTTAATGTTTCTTTTTTTGTAAGTTTCTTGAGTAGCAACAAATTGATTTTGTTTGCCTACAACATCAGTAAAGAACAAAAATTCATCTAGGAAACAAAAATTTCAGCTGGTAAGACAAATTTTTGTAAAAAGACCTTTCAGAATAATGTATTTGTCATTCAATAAAATTGAAATACAGCCCGAAATTCAAGAGTCCTTTAGAAATGTCTCTCATAAAATCCACATCTTGAATAGAGGAAAAAATACAGGAGAAAAGTAATCCAATAACTACCACTCCTTCATTTTTTTAGATTTAATTGTAAAAGATTGTGTCATTGTTAGTTTCCGAGGAGAGCAGAGGTCTTCTGAAAAATGACTGCTACTATATTTATGTTGGAGCAAAGTTAATGCTTGGCTAAGTTTCAGCAATATAGAAAGCAAGGAGACCAGGTTGGTGGGAAAGAGCATTGTGGGCTGTTTTTCTCTAGGTCTGTGCAGTCAGTTGTCTTTAGCTAATAAATCCTTTTGGCACTGCATTTTGTTATGCAAGTTTAGGAGAATTCTGCAGCTTTTGTTTTATATTTCAATGTGAATCCCATTTTCTCTTCAAGCGAGTCGTGATTTAGTGAGAGAATAAGCACTGGGCAGACTGCATTAAGTATTGCAAGTCAGTTTTCTCTGCTGTCACTCTTTGAGTTGCATCAGGGTCTGCTCTTTAATGGAAACTACCTCTCCATCAGGGTAGTGAGTACTCAGTGTTGAGAAACTTTGCTGCCTAACCCTTGCGCGAACCTTTGCGGGGTGGTGAAGGGCTGTTTGGGTATTGTACTGCTGTAACTTATTTTTGCATCCTTCTAGGACTTTAGCTTATTGCCAATGGGTGGAAAATCTTCATGAGACACAAAAGATGGTTTCACTTTTTGGCCCCTTCAGCGACTTGCTGAAGTGGATCCTCTGTCACCTGACCAAAGGGATCGTGAAGCGGGAAATGTACGGGCATGGCATTGGCCGCTTCTCAGAGGAGGAGATGTACACACTGATGGAGAAGGACATGCGGACTCTAGCAGGCCTCCTGGGTAATGTACGGCGAGCTATGCGTGTTCTGTTTGTTCACAGCCCACTGTCCACAGGATGAAATCGATTGCGAGTGCTTCTTGGCAGCTTGATCATGTACACAAATAATCTCATTTTTGCAGCAGGTAGAGTCTGCAGTGCTGCTGTCATTCAGTGCCACCCTCGCTCTGGCAGGGTCACTGTTTCTTTCCTCGCTGCTTGCTACCAAATTATGTCTTTAGAGGCCTGTTCTTCTCTGGGCACCCATTATGTGTATCGAGAGGAGCAGAATGTGGCCTGCAATTTTGGAAGAGTGTTTTGCTGTATGAACTTAGATAGAATATAGTGTTTGTTTCTGCAAGTTAAACTTCTGTTTATATTTTGGGGGGGTCTTACTTTTAATTCTTGGAACTCATGACTGTTTGATAGATTGTTATGAGGCTGCCATTTGAAAACCCTTTACAGATGTTATTTTGATGAGCTAGACTTTGCTGTATTTGGTTGGTGTTGGCAGCTTTAGTCAAAGCTGCTAGTAGGAGATGGGTCTGTGTTGTCAAAATAGGTAGTTTTAGACTTCTTGATTGTCATGGGTAGCTCCCATAGGGTTAGTCTTGAGGTTGACCTCACTTAGCTAAAACCACATGAGCCTTATTTCTGTTGTGTAGCTCAGGCTGAAATCTGTACCAGAGCTGTCTACACTTTGCTTCTCGCCTTGCAGTGTGCTGAGAGCTAACAATATTGTGCTTCTGTGTAAAATTTGCATTTTGAGGAATTGGTTTGTGGCAGATTGTCGTTTCCCTTGAGCTTCTGTCTCTCTTGTGCAAGGAACCAAGGGAGATAGTACCTATGTGGCGGCTTTGTTCCCTGTTAAGATTGCTTTAAAGAGGTGGCTGAGTGGAGGGCAGGAGGGATGATTCCCTGCCCTGTGCTCCGGAGGGAGGACATGTTGCATGTGCTCTAAATAGGTAAGTGTGGAGTGGATGGAGGCAGCAAGGTGACGAGTGCCCCACAGAAGGTGGAAACCAAGTGCTTGCTGAGAAAGAGAAGAGAGATGCTTCTGGACTTCCAAGGTTTTTTGAAAAGGAAGATATTTGCAGAGGACCTAGATGGGGCTGTGTAGCTTTTTCTGCAACTTTGTTTTCTGAAAGAAACCTGCTGTGTTGCTGGATTGGTAGCAAGGTGGAAAAAAGATGTGATGCATGGATGCAGTGAGCAAGGGGGAACTCCCTTTCTCGTGCTGCATTTTGTTTGTTAACAAAAAAGTTACCTATTCTAGTGCCTCTTCAAAGGAAACCTGGCTTCGGAGCTTAAGAGTTCCTTTTTTTTACTGGAGGAGGAAGGGAGGAAACAGCTCATTTTAGAAGAGGAGGTCTGGGCACATATGCTGCAGAGCTGTGGCCAGCTCACTCAACTGTGGGACTGCTGTTGCCATAGCTTCAAATTTGCCACTGCGGGGCTCCATGTACATTGGGAGAGGAATGGTGTTGGGATGGGAGCTGGAGGAAGTTCAGCCTATGACTTGGAAGCTCTGCAGAGCCACGTGGTTCTGGGTAGGCAACGCTGACAGGCTGAACAGAGCAGCAGTAGATGTGTCTATGCTAAAGGCATCCCTGTCTGCCAAGAGTAGACATAGCCTTTAAGAGAAAACTGAAACATGTTCCTGAGTACCTGTAAAAGTCTCTTGGTTTGCTTATTTGAAGTCTGCATCTTCCTGTGTCTGGAATCTATGCTGACACTCAGATTTGTAAAGTTTTGAGTTCCAAGGGATCAATAAATGACCTAGACAGATCTCTGAATTGAACTGCTTGGTTGCTGCCGTGAGGCCTGTGTCTTTTTTCTGGCTGAAGCATGTCTTTCTAAAAGGCAGCCAGTTTTAATTATGAGATTTCAGGAGGTGGAGGTGCCACTGCTTTCATTAGTTATTTGTGACAGATGTTAATCACCATCAACATCTGTTCAAAATCTGACCTGTTTCAAATCAGTTTGTCTGATTTGCCTGCAGGCAGATGTTCCTCCTAATTCTTCTTCCTTCCCTGGGTGGCCTGGGTCACCTCCTTGTGAAGGTAAATGCTGTAATCAAACAGTCTTGTACTTTTGGTTTTGGTGGGAAAAACAACTGGAAATGCTCAAGGATAAGGTGTTTTCTTCACTATATCAGTCTTCTTAATTGTACGATACCTATGTTATCAGCAGGTGTTCTATTTTTCCTTCCAGATTATTGATGAGAATGTTGTGCCTTGTGTACTTCAGAAAGCCTTGATGGGTATCTGCTGTATTCCTGTTTTACTACATTATCTGAATATTGTACATTTTTTTTATCTTCCCTTCTGAAATGGATGTCATATTAGTCAGTGTGCAGCGTGAATCATTAGGTTTGCCCTTCTGATTACTGGTGCATTTGTCTGTCTCTCTATAATTGCCTTGATGTTTTTTTATTTATTAACACCAGCATGCTCAGGTTTTCTCCAGCCAGCTGTTTATGGTCGGTCTAGTAACTGCAGCCTCCAGGTAGTATCCTGGGATGGGGACAGGGAGTGGGATGAGGACTTCCAGCCTGACTGGAGACACTCCTGTTTCACAGGGGGAAGAAGGCCTGTTGTCTGCACAAAAATCTCTGTGAAAATTCCCCTCCACATGTATGTGCCCATGTGTTTTCCCAGAAGAGGAAGCAGTTAGGATTTTGGCTGTTAATTAGAGGCCAATTTTAAGAGCTTAAAGAAGATGCCTATAATGCAGAATAGCTGCACATACTGAACTGTAGCTGTCAGTCATCAGGCATATAAGAATAATTTAATGCTCCTCATATTTTAAGAGAGACCATTCACATGGGAACAGGAATAACTTTTAAATTCCAAGTGCTCTTTCCAGAGAATGACAACTTGGCAGCTGCTTGGTCTTGTGACACTCATTTTGACATTCCCAGTCACATCTTGTGTGCTTTTTTTCTTTTTTCATTTCTGAGAATCATTTTTCCTTCTCTCAGGTACCTATTTCTCTAACAGACTCCTCCAGATCTCTTATAAATGTGGAAATTGGAAGTAATCCTCCTCTGATGGATCAGCCTGCCTTGTTGGTATCATCTTGCTCTCTGTCCTGCAGTCTTTAGACCACAAGTGAAATCTCCTTGTGTTGTAGTAGTTTCCTGCTGCCTGGTAGTAGTGTTCAGGAAGTGGGGGGAACTGGGCATATGAAATAGCAATATATAAAAATATGCATTTTGATAATTATTTAAAAGATGGAAGTGAGTGAGCAGTGCCCTTAAGTCTGTTGGTGTCCTCTCAGCTGTGTGCCAGCCTCAGGCTTTTGGGTAAATGGGTATTCTAAGCAGGGACTTGCAGGGCAGCAGCTGCCTGAACCAGCTTTTGAAAAGCATTCGATTTGTGGAGGGAGGGCAGGGGTTCTCAGAGCTGAATCACAGAGGTGGGTCTAACCTGAACATAAGCCTCTAATGCTAGTTGAAATGCTCCCCAGCAGCCTGCATAGGCTGTGGAAGGGTGCAGGTCTCCTGCTGGCCCTGTGTCTCGTAAATCTGTCTTTTGCTGGGGTTTCTTGACCTAGTGCTGAAGTGTGCTTTTGAATTCTTTTGGTGAATGTTGGAGTTGGTCACAGAGCCTTGGCTGTATGGGCTGTGTGCTCTCAAATCTCCAGGCAGTACAAATGTGGTCAAGTCCAGTGTGACCAGGTGATGGCATTTCTGTTGGATTAGCTAGGGGATGCAGCTAGGCATTTGAGATGATTAGCACTATGGCAGTCTTGATGCAACAAATGCTGTGTAATCCGGCATAAAACTAGACACTGAGAGATGGTATCTGATCTGTCAGAAAGTCTTCTGGAAAAAAGTTGCAAGTCTGGAAGTTTTGGGAACAGGTTGGAACCTGTAGAAGGAAATGTGCATGGAGGCCATGTTATGTGGTGCAGGGTGACTGCGGTTTTAGGGAACCACAGCTCTATTTCCTCCTCTTTCCATCCATTTGTTTCCGCAAACCTGAAGGTGTGGGTTGTTGTGCCTGGGGAACCCCCTATGTTTGCAAGAGTGGGACGTTTCAAGCCTCACTGCCTGTCTTAGTTGTAGCAAGATGGAAATGGCAGTATTATTTCCCAGCACGACATTGTATGGATCAAGTCTGAGACATGGTTGTATGGTGCTAAATTCCTAGTATTGGCATGTAACTGTGGTTTGGGGACCAATTTTTGAGCTGTGTTCGAGATCAGTGAATGCTAGGTGTCACATAAATACTGAAAAGACACAACATTTACCCTGTATGTAGTTTTCAAACAATAGATTGATGCAGCAATGAAAGAGCTGTAAGGAGTTAACTTGATGTTAAAATTACAGCTGACAGCTAGAGGAGGTTTTTGTTACTGGTTATTCCTGAGCGCTGTTCTGCTACACTATAGTACAGGGGAATGACAGCATTTGTTGTATTGTACTCTGGAATTTGGTACATTTTAATGCTGGATAGTGTTTCTAAACTCACTGAAAGACCCTGACATTTAATAACCTGCTGAATTACAGGCAATTTATATTGGGCAAGGGAAGAATGTCCTGGGGAGATGGGATAACTGGATTTGGATAATTCAATTATGTATGACACTTCAGTTCTTATAGCACTTTGGGACACTGCAACCATCTCACCTGACCTCTGCAACACTGTGTTTCACCTGTGTGCCCTGTGTGTAGACTTTGCTCCAGGTCTTGTTCCAGTGATGTGCTGTGGTGGCCATTTAGGACCATCATGGCATTGGGGTGCCCAGGGAGATAAGCAGAATTTCAGTGTCGAGCAGAAATGTCCCCTCCTCTGGACCAAGCCAGTCCCAAGCAGCTGCTGTTTCACTTGCCTGCTTGCATGCCTAATGTGCCTCTGTTTGGTCCCTGCCGGTATAAACCAGTGTTTGGGGGTGGGGGCACCACACTGATGGTGTGTGAAGAGAGCTCTTGTGTACAGTGTCCTCCTGGAAATGCAGGTCATTTCTGGGCAGTTGCTGCCAGTCTGATTGGTGCATTGGTTTCAGCCTGAACAAGTGGTGGGAAGAGAGCTTTGGATATTACTTTCTTTTTTCATGTGACCAGATGAATAACCTGAAACTGAATCTACATGCATGAGAGGTACAGGGTGACCAGCTTCTTTCAGCAAATGCATTCATGATTTCAAACCATGGTTGAGCAATTTTGGGTTTGCACCAAAGGAGAAAATTGTGCTTTCAGGCACCTGGTGGCTTCAGAGAAGATTTTTAAATGCAGCAGAACTAGTGCAGTATGTATGTGCTGCCAGGTGTGATGAGTGGAGGAGGTCACTTGGCCAGTGGTGGCTCTGTAGTCAGCCTAGTTAGAGAAGTGGTGAGCACAATGGAGGCTGTGGTAATGGATTTCACCTGCTGAACCCTAGCAACAGCTTTTGAACCATATTCAGCATTGAATCTCGGTCTTTGAATCAGTGAACCTTTTCAGCTAAATGATTTCAGTAAAATACATAGCTGAAGATATAACTAGGAAATTTTTTGTTACTTGTGGAGAAGTGGCATCCAGTCAAGAAATGTTTCCTGTTGTATTTACAGGTGACAAGAAGTACATTATGGGACCAAATGTTTCCACTGTTGATGCCACTGTCTTTGGGCATCTGGCACAGGCAATGTGGACACTACCAGGGACTCGACCAGAGAGGCTAATCAAAGGTAAGAAAGCTTAAGTGATCTCTCATGAAAAACTCTTGGTGGCATTTGCCATGTTTAAACTTGGAGCACCTTGTAAGGATATTTGAGGACTGCAACAGCGCTTCAACTGCATCACAGGCTGTTCTTGCCTTTGATGTCGCATTTGTATCCTGTAATGTTTTAAAATTCGTGTTTGTTTTCTCTTTAATGTTCTACATGGTAATTGTTTCTATTCCTGTACTTGATCTCTTCCCTGTTTAACATAGCAAAGACTGAATGCCTTTAAGGCATGAATGCTTGGTAAAGTGTGAGAGGACAGCAGCATGACCATGAGCCAGATTCTGCTGAACTGAGTAGTCTAATTGATGGAAGAAATGCAAGTGCTATTGTCCCACTGAAATGACAGCCTTTGCTGTTATTGAAGATGCTGAGCAAGAAAAAAGTCCAGCCTGACTTTGGAGTCACTGTGTTTTTATGTGAATTGGAAACCAATGTACCCCTTCTCTCCACACATTTTTTTCTTTTCCTTGTGGGGTAGTATAGGGATCTGAAAGTATCTTTGCATCTCTTTTTAGAATAAAACCACAAAGTATGAAAAATGGGAGGAGCTGAGGAGGAAAAAGATGTGAAATAGATGTAAAAGGAATGAATCTGACCTGTAGATTTACTCTGCACAAGAGAGAGCTACTAAAGCAACAGTTAAGAGGCTTAAACTTGTTCATTATTAAAACTTCGAGGAAAAAAATAACCTGAGATGAGGATATAAGTATTGTCTATACAGTTCTTACCCTTGATGTCTGGGGAAACATGGATAAAATTCTGAAGGGTCTGTTGTTTTCAGGAAGGAATACTGTGTTTGTTAAACTAGTTTGTCTCTAATGCAAATAAATAGGTGGTAATAGATGCAAATACCCAAGCAGTATGGGTGTGGATGATTCTCTGTACCCATCCACCTATTGATGCAATTGTGAATGCAGGTTTCACATACACATTCCCTCTAATATACTATTATTCGTTTGTTCTTTGAAGGTTTTTGTAATTTATTCTCTAAGCAGACTCTAAGCATACATGTATGTATAAACACAAGGCATAAGGTACTAAGGCTAGGAACATTATGGGTGATCTAGTGACCATAGGAAAACTTAAAAATGGGAATTTATCTTTCAGACAACGCTGCCATCTGGTGGTGGGAAACCTAAATTCACTGTATTTTAATGACTATGGGTTCTAATTCTGCCTTTAGAAACCAGGTTTCTGCAAAATAAGCAAGAATTTTACTATGAAAACCTTCAAGTATTAGTATCTTGATTTATTTCTGTAGAGGTTGAATTTGGGTTAGCTGTTACATGCGTTTATGTTCATTTCAGTGTAACCCTTCTTGTTGTATGTGATTAATAATAGGTGTTTTAAGTTACATGAAAGGTACAAACAGAGCCACTAAGAGGATTGATGGGATCTTGGCATTTTGAAACCTCTTTGGAAGGAACCTGCACAATTTATTTCCAAACAGTGCTAACATGTTTCTGCATCAGCAGGTGAGTTAGAGTATTATGGACTGGGTGTATTTACTGGAGTCTGTTGTGCTGTGTTGCAGGTGAACTGATTAACCTTGCCATGTATTGTGAGAGAATAAGAAGGAAATTTTGGCCAGAATGGCACCATGATGATGATAACACTCTGTATGAATCTGAGGAAAGCAGCGAAGCAAGCAAGACTTACTCCCCTTTGCAGGACTTCAGTTTTTATTCAAGGACAGAAACATTTGATGAGGAAGGGAACAGTATTTCTCAAACGCCTGATACAGATTACACTGGACACTCCCTCTTTGATTCAGATGTGGACATGGATGAGTACAGAGATCATGAACAATGCAAGTGATGCGTACAAGCATCTCCCATTTTTCAGAAAAGCTCTTTTTTGGGATCAGTCTGATCAGATCTTGGGTCAGGAAGAAGTTTATACCACTTTGGAAGAGACCATTGTGCTTGATTCGACTGTCACATGCTACCTGGACTATTTCAACCTTATTTCGTTTTGTGTAACTGTTCAGGTGGAACCAAGGTAAACAGTTATTTAAAACACACATGAGCAAACTGGAGGTCCAGGGGGCAACAGGACCTTTCAATCTATATTTTTGTTGTGTTCAAAACCAGATCCTGCAACCAGTTTGGACAGACCCCTGGGAAGTGGAACATTTGTCAGAGCTGGTTTATGTTGATACCTTACCTTTATAGGAATGGGTTAAGGACAAAAATGGAAGAGGCACAACTGGCACACCTTTCTCCTGTGGAAGAAAATGATTGATGCTGTATTGATTTGTGGAGTTTCGGGGGAATTTTACTGGATAGCTACTTGTACTCTGGGTGCATATGTTATTACAGTGGTTGCAGGAAAGAACTTCTTCCAGTTCTTTTGGGACAGTCAAGGAAAGCAGGAGGAAAACCTATTCCTACAAAAAGGAGATTTTTAGTGTTTCTTGTTCTTTGCAGAAGATTGAAATTGCTACTCTAGATTATTTTTATTCAGAAAGGAGATGTCAGTTTTAATGTATAATCCCCCAAACACTCATCTGGAATGTGTGTTGGCCAAATTTCTTCTGTGTTACTGAAATATGATTATTATTATGTTTTTAGTTCCTGCCACTGGCTGTTGTCTGCTATTGCCAGGCAAGGCTAAAGAATTGGGATTTGTTACTAAAACTCTGGAGCGTCTCAGCAGTGGGTGCTTTGTGTTCTTTACCAACAGACAAATCAAACTCATGAATATTGCAAAGTGATTTGAGGTGTTTCTAGGTGTGGGATACTGTGTAAGTGCAAGATGTTGGTCCAGGCAATCAAATGCAATAGAGCTGCCTAGGAAGGTGCTTCAGTGGGTTCTGAGCCCTGTGCTGGTTTACAGTGCACAATCCCTGAAGCCGATGCATGGGAGGCAGTTGAGATAGGACAGCTGTGTCAGCACTGCTGTGTGTGGGGATTTCCAGGTGCTGAAGGTGTGACCAGAGTTGGCTTTAAGGTGACTTTGCTAGCACATCCGTGAATCTGGAACCCTAAATCCAGAATGATGGCACAGGTGCTGACATACTCTGTGTCTCCCTAAATGCAGGTTAGAGATGAGAATGAATCTATTGGATCTACTTATTACTTTGAAAGTAAACATGTACATTAGTGTTACTTGGCTGTGGCTAGTTGGTTTTAAATAGAGATAAAGCATATGGAACATATAGACAGCTGTGGTAGTTGTAAACATACGTATAAAATTAGGTATTTGCCTGAAGACTTTGGCAGTGGCCCATTAAAAATATTTTAATTATGACTTTCTCAATGAATTAGATGAATTGGAATCCCTCAGTAAAATTATTGTAATGTGTTAGTTTTGCCATACATTCTGTGAGCAGACAGGGCAGACAACTGCTTTAGGATATTAATTGTTGGTAGTCCTAATAGCCTGGAGCTTGAAATAACTCCAGCTTTCAAAGAATGCCTCTCTTTCTTGGACTGTGGAATGTCTTCTGCAGAGGAAAGCACTTGCTCTGGGGAAACGCTGACCCATACCTCTGAGAGCAGGAGGACACATGCCTGCAGTGAATTCCCAGGTCTGTTCATGCATGGGAGCTATTGCAGGGAGAGCTGACAAGTTTGGTGTGATGTGAGATGAGTGTGAATTTGTACCTGTTTACTCAATTCTCCAGGCATATCCTTGGAGCCATGTTCCAGTCAGTGGTCTACGTTGTTGTGAGCACATACCATTTTCAAAGTGAACCAAAACTGAGGAGGAAGGGATCTTTCATTCAGTTACTTGGGACCCTTCTCAGGAAGCTAAGCCCAGGAATAGGACACAAGAAGATAAGTCTTGGGCTTGAAAGCACAGAGGTCATGGCCTGAAATGCCATGAAATTTCATAGCCAAGTCAGGGTAGATTCCATCTGCAAAAATATAGGTATTGGTATTCTGGATAAAAGGCATCCATGTCAAAAAGCTTCTCTTTAAAAATGTTTGTGTGTTGGAAATTCTGACGGAGACGTTCTTGTTTACCCATGTGTGTTTGAAGGCTGTTCTTTCTGTGCTTTCTCCATCTTTTCAGCATTGGGAGGGTGTTCTTGCAGCAGATCAGTCCCAGCCATGAGTCCCAGTTATTAAAAGACCAGCTGGAGTTTGGTTGACAGTATCACCTTTATAATTTTGGTGGGCTGACAGATCTGCCTGTGTCAGTGGCCCTTGCAATGTCCCGAAACACAGGTTAACCAGAAGTCAGCAACGTTATTTTACCCTACCATGCGCGTGCAGCTGGATCTGGATTTTGTGTACACGGAGCACAGACCGAGGAGACGCCAGTGCTGTGCACAGCCGGTGTCACACCATGGCCTTGCTTGTCTGGCAGCGCTCAGAGCTGCGGGCACGGTGGGTAGGGCTGGTGCCGCCGCACCCCGGCACGGGGACCTGCGCCAAGGATGTAGGTGCTTCGCAGGCCCGTGGTTACGTTCACACCTGGTATTTTTTTGCTTTTGTTTCATATAACTGGCATGCCTCAGCAGAGGCTGAACTGCACCCTGACCGGCCAGGAAATGGACGGGGGTGAAGAAGAAAGGATCGGAAGCAGTTGCAGAAGGAGAAGCAGCTTTTTGCTGTCGACTGAGTTTTTCACTGTGTTAATCAGTGAGGTGAATGTATTTTGCAGCTCGTCACATGCCTTCCCTTTCTGAGGGACTACTCAGGTTACCTTAGAGGAGAAGTTGGTTGGGAGAAATTAGTTGGGTTTCTCCTTAGGACAGCTACTCTTGATAAAGTCTGTGTTTTGTGGTTTGGCTGTGTTTCAGACGAGAAGAGAAATTAGGAAATAGCATCTCATTAGGAATTTATAGCTGTAGTATTTTGTCCAGGTTTGGTAGGAATTTCTTGGATTTATTTACCCCTTCCGGAAACAAATACTGACTGTTAGACCTCTTTAAAAGGATTTAATTCAAGTTTTTTGTTTGGAAGCTGGTCTTGGTAAAGTCTTCCAGGGAAAAAAAAAGTTTTTTTAAAAAATAGCTTTTTTAACATCTATGAAAAAATGTTAGTTCTTTTGGTTTGCATGGGGAAGGAGGTGAGTTTTCTTCAAAAAAAACCCACCAGATTTTTTTCTGACTTTCCAAAATTCTGCTAAAAGACCAATGTTTTCTTAGTCCTGCAGTGGTTTGTTTTTTTTTCCCTTTGTTTCTTTCCCCTTCAATCCTCTCTCTTTTTATCCTGGTGTTGAAGGGCTATACAGAACTAAAAATAATTGGGAGAGTATCTTTATTTCCTCTTGGGTTCTTTTTTTGTTGTTTGTTTGTGTGTGGTTTGTTTTTTTCCATCTCCCTTACTGATGAAAATGGTGAACAAGTCCATCGTAGGGATGCTGAAGGTTCTGGTCATGCTACTGATGGGGGTCAGGGACATCAGTTGTCTCTGCAGCTGTGAAACCTGGGACAGCTGTGGGGTGCCGACCACCTGGCAGGTGAGCTGGGGTGGCCACTTCACACTGAAGCTGGAGGGTGATGGATGCCATGGTGTCATGTCTGAGGTGACATGGACTACATAACATTTTTTTCCTGGCTGGGGATCCTCATGGCCGGACACTCAATGTGGTGTAATGTTAGGAAGAGTTCAGGGACCCTTGTCATTAAAATCAGATGTCTATGAGGTCTCTGAGAGCATTGCAGCTGCCAGCACCAAACCTGGTTGTGGTCCCAGCCACAGCCCCAGGCTGGTTTTGGGTAGTTGGTGGCACATGGTCCTGGTGGGACGAAAGCTAGCTTGGGGATCCTCCACGCTGTCTGGGCCCTCCTAAAATAGAGCCAGGGGGCCCTTTGACAGTCAGGGGAGGAGGCAGTGGGTGGGATGTGGGGAGGGTGCTGAGTGGTGGGTTGCTACAGGACGACCCGGGCTGAACCTGCGGCCTGGCTAACGCTACTGTTTGGGGGCTGGGTGGGAGCTCTGCCCTGTGCCCCAGCTGGAGCACAACCTCTCATCGTGGTGAGGAGATGGCGCTGTTCCTCCCGGTTACTTCACCATAAATGCTGCTGAAAGCCGAGTACTGCCTTTGTTTTTGTAGTGCTGCTTTAACAGAATGAGTAATTGGTCTGCTCCTCATTTGGCAAATGGGAGTTTAAAGCAAGCACTGCGTTTTCAGTAGAGTTAGATTTGAAGCAGTCTGTTTTTTCATGTGAATTGCAGTGTTTGACTGTGTAACGTTCTGTCATGTCAGAAAGGATTCGTTTACCCCTGTCAGACTCATTGGCTTTGTCAGCAGAGCTCAGTGTTACCGGGTGGGGGAAACAGGCGCTAGGATGTATAGGTCCTACAGAAATCCTACAAATGTGGTGCTTGATTTAAAAACCAAACTGAACCCGATGTTTCAGATCTGTAGGACTGTTTCCATCCAATTATAACACTGCAAGTCACATGTTTTGATCTTTAAACCTTGGCAATGTCCCTCCAAATCTATATTTTCTTTGAAAAAAAATTGCCTGAAATATTTCTGCAGCAACAGTTCAGACACAAATTTCCTTTTGTCAGTGATGTCTGCTCAAGTAATCATGACAGTTTCATACTGTTTTCATTGAAAGGGCTGTATCTGTCAGATACTAAGCCGTACAAAATATTGCCTGCTGGAAAAGTGTGTTATGTGCAGATTTATGCAGGGCAGCTCACCAAGTGAAATCTCTGTGGCAGGGGATGAATTCAAGTGCATCTTGTCCTTAGATGTTTGAATAAGAATTTGAATCTGTTTTCTGACAAGTAGCTATTTAGCCTAAACCCTCCCCCATCCCCAAATACTGCAAAATTATGAATTAGGCATGTGATTGAAATAAAGCAAATTATGCTCTCTAAATGCAGAATTATGTTGGATGGCCCAGTATCTGGCATATGGAAATGGATATACATAGCGTGGGTGCGAGTCATGCCCATACGTGCCAGTGGCGGTGATCTGGAGGAGTAGAAGTGTTTAAGCCCATGGGCTGAGAGGACTCGTGGTACCTTTGAATGACTGCAGTGGTTTTCAGCAGATGATTAGCACTACAGATGCTGGTGTATGCTGTGCTACGCTCCAGCTATTTCTTAGTGCTGGGTAGGCAGCGCAGGGGCTCCTTTTGGTAGCGGCCGCTCCGGTGAGGCTGTCAGGCGTTGTCATCCCACACCCGCGCTGCAGTCGTCTGCATCCTGGTGATGAATGGCAAGGACAAGGATCTCTTTGGGTTTGACCATTGCAGCGAGCACAGCTTTGAGCTCAGAGGTGAATGTGGGCTCTCATGTCCAGCTGGTGCCCTGTTGAGGCAGGTGTTCCCCTGTACCGCATGGGTTGCTGTTGGGAGGGGGGATTTAATTTTCAGGCCAGTGACCCTAAGAATTTACAGCTTTGTCTTAGTGGAGAAAAGCGTTCCAACATGAATCAGCTCTGTCTTGGTTGTTTTTGGCAATCTTCTCTTTGGCCATTGGGGAGGGTTTCTCTTGCCTTCCTTCCCTGTGGAAGTACCCTCAGTGCTTCTCAGCAAAGGTTTATGCAGCTCCCTGAGGAGCTGGAAAATAAATGAGATTTCTGTGTACAGCACAGGAATCTCAGTCGATGAAAGCATGCAGTGTGTCACTAGAGTGCTAAACTCTTGGTATCATGTACTGGTTGCCCCACTGCCAGATTTTTTAAGGCCAGAGGAGATTGTTACAGGCCTTTAGTCTGACTCATGCATAAAAAGGACTGTAGGATTTCATCTAATGATTTCTAAATGCAGCTCAACAAACTAAAGCTGAAATGGAGGATATGCTTCCAAAAGGCATTCAATTTTTGCAGAACAAATAAAATCCTGTCCCCTTTGAAGTCACTGACAAAAGTTCCATTTGCTTTAGCGGGTCTAGAGTTCCTGACCGAGCTTCCAAGTGATCCAAAATTTACTGCTTGTCTTATTACTCTGTCTAATTATTCTCACCTAAAAATTTGCTTTATTTGGGGCCATAAGGCAAACAATATGTGACCGCTGTTTTTTTTAAACCAAAAAAAGTGCTTTTTTTAAGCTTCAGTGGTTGTGTTGATATTCTCACTGGGCACTATGTTTGCGTGTGTTCTCCTCTCACTTCTTAGTTTGTTCTTATGACTAATCTTTCCTTGAATGTACAGGTTTTTATTTTTCAGGATACTTGAAGAATGCAAGTCCCAAAGTTTTAATCATTGGGGTGTGCAATCCAGCAAGAAAAAAGTATGTGTAGATGCGTGTGGGAAGGGATATATCCAGCTAGCTGCAGTTTCAGGTTTAACTAACAAAATGAAGCCACACATTGCTATATGAGGACTCTAATATTGTAGCTGCTTTATGTTGTTTGTCTATGAACTCACGAGACATACATTATTTTAGAACTGTTATTACTACTAGTTTATAAAGCCATATTTAAAATTGTACACTTAATTGTAACATAACTTTAAACTGTGCACTGTGTTGATCCATGTATATATATGAAAATCTGTATATTTTGTCTTTATGCTGTATGTCATTGGTGTGTAAATTACAATGGATCTAAAATACTTTTCTGTTTCATGTCCTTATTCTGAACATGTCTGTGCTTTCTGTAGAGCCGCGAACTAAGCGTTCTCTGCAGTGTGGGAGTGCATGAAGCTTTAATGGCCGGTGAGTTAAACCCTCATCTCCCCAGGCAAATACTTTAGCCACCAGCATGTGGATGGGGCCACTCTGTCACTGTTCACCTGTCCCCTTGACACTGCAGGAGGAATTTCAGGGGCTAGCACAAGAGGAAGGACTGCACTTAGACTTGGGCATGAGGAGGGATCCCTGCTCCCCTCTCTCTCCATTTTGTCACTGTTGCTACCAGTGTGAAAATAAATAAATGTGAGAAGGGAACTAGTCAGGAGTGCATAAGCTCTAAGGTCTTCAACCAAAGCACTGTTATGGCTAGTTTCATTGTATGATAATACTTTGGACATTTTTCAGCAAGTGTGCATCCTTAGCCAGAGAGCATGCTGCCTTGAACGTGGCAGGAGATGTGACCTTGTTGGAAGAAATACAGGGGAACAGTGTGCAGGTGATAAAGGTGCAAGACTATACACAGATGCCTTCAGACCTCGCAGAGGCTTGACATCAAGTCCCACTTGGTAAGTGATGATGTCAGTGTTGCAGGTGCACTTCACCTGTGTTGGGGTTTAACCCCAGCTGGCAACTAAGCCCCATGCAGCTGCTTGCTCACTCCTCCCAGGTTGGATGTGAGAGAGGAATCATAAAAGAGGAAATTGGTGGGTTGAGATAAAGACAGTTTAATAGGTAAAGCAAAAGCCACAGACACACAAGCAAAGGAAAACAAGGAATTCCTTCCCTGCTTCCCATCAGCAGGCAGGTGTTCAGCCATCTCCAGGAAAGCAGGGCTCCATCATGTGTAATGGTTACATGGGAAGAAAATGCCATAGTCCAAACGTACCCTGCTTCCTTTCTTCTTCCCTCAGCTTTGTATGCTGATCATGATGCCATGTGGTATGGGATATCCTTTTGGTCAGCGTTCTGGCTGTGTCCCCTCCCTACTTCTTGTGCACCCCCAGCATCCTTGCTCACGGAGCCACATGAGAAGCTGAGAAGTCCTTGAGTTAGTGAAAGCACTGCTCAGCAGCAACTAAACATTAGTGTGTTACCAACATTATTCTCATCCTAAATCCAAAACACTGTGCTATATCAGCTACTAGGAAGAAAAAAAAACTAGCCCAGCCAAAGCCATCACAGCCTACCTGAACATTAAAAAAAAAAAACAGTTTAGTCAGGCCCAACCCTGAAGTACCATTCTGAATAGACTTTTAGCTCCTTTCATTGCCTTACAGTTTTATGGCCAGTGAGGTTGATGTTCATAGTCTTTTTCTCCATGAAGGCTAGAAACACAAAGGTCAGTAACTTGTACCTAGGTTGAAATACAGGACTTGAATCATTAAATGCTGCAAGCTCAGAAGAGCTGGCAGCCAAAACAGAGCCCTGTCAAGCTCAGGTCTCTCTTCGTTACAGTGAGCTTCTGTCTTGGTGAAACACTCACAAGCTGTTTATCCCCCAGTCCAAAAAACTTTAAATTATGGCATATGAGAAATACTTTGGATGCTACAAGGTTGTTCTGGGCCATGCAGGCACATGCAGCAGCTTACTGCAGCCTTGATGGCAGGAATTTGGTGAATCATCATAACTGGTGGTAAGCCTGATCCTTACTTCAGAGAGCACTGCTGGAAAGGTAAGTGCACCCATGCTTTCAGTGTGAGGAGAGGGGTGGAGACAAGTGGTCTGCAAGTGCCTCAGGGCAGCACCCTTAAGGGGAACTGCACAGCTAAGTTCCCTGAACAGCTTATTTAGTCATTGGCCAGATCGTGGTTGGGAATACTCATTTTCCAGTGAAATTGTTAGTAACAACTGATTAGAAGTCTTTATGCCAGCCCTGTCCCCACTCTGATGTCTGTTATGAGGCTGGGGTTCAGTTGGCCAAGGTAGGTGCCCACTACCTCCTGAGATGCCTTGGGACACGTGGGGGACTTGTGTAGGGCTGGCTGGCAGTACCCAGGGGAGACCTGAAACCGGGAGTGGCAGCCAGAGGCCAGGCAGGCAGTCTTACAGCATCTGAAATGATGGCTAACCACTTGTGTTCAGGTGACTGAATCCCACCCTGGATAACCCCTTTAAAAGGAAAATGAAAGGAAGTGGTGGTGTTGGTGTTGCAACTAATCATGTTTATATCATGGTAAAGCCCAACTGATCAGCATGAGTCCTTTCTTCAGAGGCTCAGATTGCCTACCATGAGGTTTACAATCCCAGAAAAAAAAGTGATGCAACAAGAGTGAGAAGAGAAAGACAGTATCTTGTTTTAATATTTGGCTCTGGATTTGGCCAAGTACATTTAATTTTATATTAAGGCCTCTCTAGGCATCTATAGGTATCTACATTGTTGTAATCTGTGGAGATCTGCTTTGAGTGGTCTGTGCAACCTAGAGGTTCCTCAGTGGAGCAGAGATACCTGCTTTCAGGTGAGCTGAACTGCTCCCACTGTGCTGACTGCACGGCCCAGAGCTCTGTGGGTGACAGTGGAAGCTGAACATTTAGGTCATGAGTGTACCCTACAGTCAGACATCAAAATTAAAACCTCTTAATCCCAGGCTGAATCCCACCCTAAAACAGCTGTGTCTTTACCTGGAAGCTCAGCCATCACCTCTACTTTGATACCTTTTCTAGGAAATGATGTACTATTGCAGACAGCAGAAGTTGTTTAAGGAAACTTCAGGCTGTAACGCTGAGCACTCCACAGTTAGAAAATACCAGAGTTCAACTGCCCATGTAGTTCTAATGTCACCTCTTTTTGCATAAGTACTGAGTTGCAGATTTCAATTCTTTCACTATTGTTTTTTCCTTAAGACCTCTGCCTCATCTGGTGCAGGGGGTGAATTAATGATGAGCTAGTGGTGATTTCATTTAAACTGTGACCCCCAAGCCTTATTTACTGTGTAAAATTCAAGCCCTACAATGGAAACCAAATGATTAATTTCCCCATGAGCTTGTCTGTGGCAGTCATTACCATGGCTTCTGGGTGCTTCAAAAACACTAACAAGTTTGTTTTCACAACATCCCTGTTGGGATGCAGTAATAGACAAGACTAGAAAGACTGAGTTGTCAAGAGCCTTGAAAGTAAGTGCAAGAAACTGGAATTTGATATAGGAAGAGCCAGTTGATGGACTCAAAGAAAGGAAAGATATAAACAAGTAATAGGCATCAAAGATATTCTTGGCAGATGCACTTTATGTGGGTTAGAGGGTCTTAGAGAAGTGCTGATTACTCTAGGATGGAAGTTGAGGGTCTAAAATAGAGCCTTGTTTGTCAGAACAGGAAGGAAATTATTTGAAGGAGAAATGTGACAGAGAAATAACATTTGGAGAGAGAAGGCATGGACTGCCACCAGGCAGAGGCTCTTTTTCTGTCCTTCATAACAAAATCTTCAGCGGCTGGGGGTGTGCTGCCCTTATAGACAGTAGCGAAAGGAGCTGAATTTTCTCTGCCCAGGTGTGAAGGCTTTGAGATAGGGCCACGCTTTGCCATCATTTCAAAGACAACATTTGTTTGGGAGCCACCTGAAGCACAGTTATTATCTAATAAGCAGCTTTGATTTATCAACTGCATCTACGCAGAGAGAAATTGCCGTAATATCACATACAGTGATTCACTGTGACAAAGAAAACTATAATTATTCAGCGTGCAAACTTCACTGCATGCTAATGCGGCTCTTGTTGGTGTGGCTTCTCAGCACCCTTTTAGCCTGTGAATACAGCATCACAGAAATAGCCAATGGTGCAGGGAAAGGTGATTGCTCCCAGGGGTATCCTAAGTGCTTGGAGGTGGAGCAACGTGCTCACTGTCGCCTGGGAGACCCGAGGATGAGCAGAGGAAAGGTTCCCCCTACCTCAGCCTTTCTCTATGCCCAGCCCTATTTTTGGTCCTACTACTGAAGATCAGTGATTCATTGTCACATAATGATTCAGGAGGGGAAAATGTGAAGGTTTGCTGATGAAGAAAGCATCACCGTGAAAGCAGTTGGTTTACGAAAGTGTGCATATTTTACTCCTGAAAAAGCAGGGGATGAAGTTTGTGCCTCCTTTCTCCTGATTTGTGCAAGTTGTGAACAGCCCATGCTTCCCTGTAATATTTCAGCTCTAAAGTACACTTACATATTTTAAAGGTGGGACTGTAGCTGTTCTGCCTTCTCAGTCTTAGTGCCATCTGAGTAGTAAATATTCTCCCAGCTATCTTCTGAAAGCCAATGCCAGCCCTGCTATTCCCATTAAAATAATTCAAAAGATTACATTTACTTTAATGTACATGTCCTAACAAATGAGAGTTTGGAAGTGCCTGGATTTCACTGTAGCTCATAATCAGCTACCAAAACTTTGCACAATACCAAGGGGTTGTAAAGTTTGAGGATGATATGTAGAATTTCTAGCTGCTCTAACTATTGTTAGTTTGTTTGCTTTCTGCTGTGAGGCAAAAAGCAAACCTTGGCCAAAGAAGGGAAAAAAGTAACTAAATCTGATACACCATTT